TAGGTGGGGTGGCTCATGCTGCCATTGACCAGCTTGGCGAGAGAGAGAGAGAGGAGAGAGAGATGTACACAAAACAGTACAGCCAACAACTAACATTCAGAGCCATAATAGTAGTGACCCATATGACGTAGATCATCGGAAAATCGCAAATCAAATCCAACTTTCATCTTGTTACGCACTTCTAAAACCTAGAAAGTGTGAGCCAACTTCCTGGTACAGGCACAAATAAATAGAACATCCTGACACGCCCAACTCCGAAACAGGACATAACAGCGCTCACATGGCGCAAAATTCATACTAAAACTACAACAATAAGGGTTAAAAGACAAAAAAAATAAAAACATGAGTAAAAATCAACGCCATGCGCATAAAAAGCAATCAAGTACAGAAATTAAATTCAAGTAAATAAAAGTCAACCATCCTTCACTAGGTGTCAAAGCCCACGGCAGAGAGATGTTTTTAAGAAATGGGATTTAAACAGAGAAGAGGCATGCTTTCAAACGTGCAGTAGGCAGACATGCCATATTTAGGACAGACGCAGCAAAGGCAGAGTCCTTTAGCTTCCACTTAGTTTTAGCCAGTCAGAGCAGCTCGATCCATCTGACCTGAGGAGCGGCGCGCCGTATATAAGCCAGGGTGTAGAAGCTCAGAGAGTAGGCGGGCAAGACCATTCAGGGATTTAAAAGCAAAATAAGCAGAATTTTAAATGGATCTAACATTGAATACCGGCAGACCAGCTCAGTGAGGCCTAAAATGGGGGGAAATCGGTGCATCATGCTTCTAACATCGTGCCCAGTTAAAAGATGGGCAGCGTGCATGTCTGTACCATCCTGAGCACGGCGCGATCGGGCCCATAACCCCCACAGCCCTTACCGATGCAGTTAGCAGTCAAGTCCAGCCCGAGTGGCGTAACAAAGGCGGTGGATTAACCCGTCTCACGAAGTGCCTTGCCTTGACAGAATTGCTTTACGGGTGTTCTTGCCAGCGTGCCTCAAATGGAAAAACGTTGATTTGACAACAGCCCTTCGAATCTGACGTGTCTACATTTCAACGCCAGGGCTCCACTTTAATCTCTAGGAGTTTTTTTGATGCTTGGTTTAGAATAACTCTGCGGCCTAAGGAGACCAGCATCTAGCAGGCGGGGTCCCCAGTGGTGCCACAAAAACATCACGTGGTCCATCTTTTTATCACTCTAAAACTGTTAAAAGTGCCGCTCAGCAGCCCCTTCCCGCCGCGCGCTCTCTACTCGTCCGCGAGACACGGCTAGTAACAGTCTGCAGCAGCCTTGCATCGGCTTTCTTTTTAAGCGCACATCAAAGGCTCTGACGTGAGTCGCCGTGCCTTCCTAAGTATGGACCAACTGGGAGCCAAATAGGAGAGGGAAAGAAGGCAGAGCGCCAAGAATCAGCCCTGTGGGACACCGAGAAGAGGAGCAGAGGAGCCGATCACAGGAGGTCACCAAGGCTGACACAGGAAAGTTCGATCAGCCAATACACCTGAACCACTCCAGTGCTGGTGCCCCTTGATGCCCACCCACCGCTTCCAACACATGAATCAATATTCCCTGATCCACCTGTGTTCAAATGCAGGTCAGTTAACATCTACAAGCACAAGATAACGACACGTCACCCGTCCGTAGCTACAAAAGATCACTCATTAAAAACCCTTAAAAGTGCTGGGGGTCCTGCATTTACCTAGTCACACACTAAATCTTTGCTTTAATGACAATCACCGAGTGCCTCACACCAACTGCTCGCGCAGCTCGAATCCAGCCCACCCCCCCCCTTCTTCACGTTCCGCCTGTAACACGCCCCTTTTTACCATAAATGGGTCAATGCAGAACGACCCTCAGTGAGCGATCCTGATATAAAACGAGATCAGATGCCAAGTATTTGTCTTGTTGGAAACAATACACGAAAGGACTGAAAAAGCAAAAAAGGCGCGAATTTCATGGAGGTGTGAAGTGAGACACCTTGTGGGTGAGGCGAGGCCCGCAAGCGTAGTTTTGTTCGGCAGTTCAGGACTGGATCACTAACAAGAAAGAACAGCAGAGTGAGGGCAACACTCTGTGTGCCTGCAGCCAGTGAACCGTCTGTCAGTGGGCACGGAGCGCACACCCCAGAATTACCACGAAAGAACGATGTCTGACACGGTAAAATGTTCTTGAACATGAACCCATTTTTAATGCCTGATTTGTCATGAAAGAATCAAGAGGCACGGACAATAATATAACGATTGCTGCTGGATTGGAGTTCGGATGGCGTTGGTTTGTCCACACTCTGGGATTTAATTGACATCTTGATTATCGTGTGCTACAGTGTCATACTAGAAATAGTTCACTTGGTTACATTGACACATGTTGCGCGACAGCGGATGCTTAT